ATGGTATCAAACAATATGCTTCTTGACATCTCATAATTGCACTCGTTAGTTTTATAAAATTTTTACATACTTATGAAACTCAGTCTAGACTAAACACTTAGAATCACATTACTCATCTTGAAGAAACAGAATCGTAGTTGAACGCAGGTCTACATTCATGAAAGAACAAAATGATCGTGACCTAAGAAGCAAAATCATAAAGTAAAAGCTGTTTCTGTAGAACAAGATTTCACACAGTTGTGTTTGATAGATTTTATTTCAAAAACTTTGTCAAAGACGTTGTAAGCCCGACGGAAGCAACCAAACCCTTGAACAGTTTTAATCTTTCATTGACTCCATTATCTGTAATACGAGAATATACATATAATTTGATGTTACATTAATGATTCATACGTGTGTATATATGTATGTACATACGGGCATGCCCCGTATACAAAATGAAAATGAGGCATGTTTTTTTGATTGTGCCTTCAACCCTAGTCGTATGGCTCAGAAGGAATGCGCGCGTCTTCACCAACGTCATCTTGTCGACCTAGCAGCTCGAAGGCGCCATCTACAACGCAGCGCTGGATCTTGCCCGCATGGCCTAGGAGCATTCCATCTTGCTCGACCCTAAGCAAGCTCAAGCGGAGCAAAACGCCAAACTGATCTTCTTCACTTACCGGGCTCCCAACGACACTCTATTCTTTTCATGAGTACTCAATTTGATGGAACTACACTCGCTTTGTATGTGGAATATTTCTGTAATTGATTTTATGGTAGGTATTATTATCAGGTAGGAAAATTCAAAAAAATTGGTATTGCCAACGAGTATACTCCTTGCCCGGTTTTGCTACGGTGATGTATTTTTACTCTTGCAATGAAAATCTCACCATTTGTCAACCAAAAAAAAAAATTTGTCTTTGAGTCTCCATGTTTCCAACTCATTTTTTCTATAATTTCATTTTTCAATACAAATAATTTATCTTCCATGTTTTGTTGATTTGTATAGTTTTTTTTATTCTTTTATATGTCAGGTGTCATTCATGTCAAATAATGTTTTTATACTTTCTCAACTACACTCTATTACAAAATAAATATTGTATGATAAGTATCTAATCTTTGAAAAAATGAATCATAAAAAATATTTTTGATTTTATGACCGCTTTATCGTAATTTTTCATAAGAATATATTTTCAGATTTTCTTCTATAGATCCTATGTTCGAATCTTTACATACATGTTGAATCAAACCAGAAACATTGTATCATGATTCAAATTTAATATTACATTTAGTATAAAGTGTAGATGATCTAGTCTTAAATTTTTCTATAACTAACAAAGGAAAGTTTAAATATATCCTTAATGTCATCACACAATTCATTAAATTTGCTTGCCAATATGTCATATTATACATTAAAAATTAAATTTTCTCATAAGATGAAGATGAATAAAACGGATCGTAGATCAACTATTGCTAGTGACTTTCTAGTAGACATCTCCATATATGCACAATCATAAATTATTATTATTTACTTTTTTAACATGCAAATTAATGACATTTGTTAAACTATATACTTTAAAAAATCAAACTCCATCATACTTTTTTAGTTCCATGAAAGTCAATACATTCTCAAAAAAAATAGCAAATTAACTTTTAGCAGCTAATTGCATATGAAACACAATTCTAAAAAAGATGAGACCATCCTAAATTGATTTTGTTCTTTCTTATATAGATATTACCAAGAAAAAAAGATTTCTCTCATCGTTCATTTCATTCATAGTGATGTAAACGTAAAAAATGAGAATCTTCAATAACAATGACATTCAAAGTAACAATCAAGATGAGAAAGATAAGCGTATAATGTCGTTCAACTCAAGGGCTATGTACAAGGAGGGCAAAACATCGTGATAGTATATTGTGCGTACTGTCTATTAATACACAGATTTTGAGTATATGTATCCAACATCGCAATCAATCTCATATATAAATAACTAAACATGAGGTTACTCCTTAACCATAGTTAACATCAACAAGTGAATTAATAGCTTGACGGATATACTTAACAATCACACAAGGTTTTAAAGTGTCATTTTCAATTAACACATTTATTTTTTACCTATCAACCACATGGATATCATATACTTAGATAGTTGATTATAATACAATTGTATCATATTATTTTATTTTCATTCTAATTAACTAAATGTGGCTATATATATCAAATATCACATTTTATACACCATTCGATATAATTTTTTGCAAGACAAATAATATACAATAAAACAACATACAAAAAATTTGCTTTTGTTAATGTTAATAAATGAGATAAATTGCATTATTGTGCTCCATTTATCATGTTTAAACAATGATGATGTTTGCTATTACATCTTTGCTAATAACTTGACGACATTAGAAGATTGAAGCATTAAACTCAACCATATTATCATAAACAATCTCTTCATTTTGCATTGTTATCGTTTGCATTACTATATTGTTGATCTTTGAACTTGATAAAAAAAATTGTTCAAAATAGTATTCATAAAATCGTCTTTGAAATCTTGAAAAAATTATTGATTAGGTTCAAAAAACAAAAATAAAAATTGCACTTTGATCTTGAACACAATCGGATTGCACTATCAAATTTGAATCAAAATCATGATATAAATATATTTGATTACAACGCTAGTTGCAACAATGATTATTAATATTACTCTGACAGAATTTATAATTTTTTTCTTGAACAAAAATTGTAGCTTGATATTCAATCTAAATTTCTTTTCAAGATCAAATGCAAATCAGAAACAACTTTTGAAAATTAATCACATTTGAAGATTTTGATTCATTATGCAATGAAAATTCTTAAGATTATAACGTGTATTATTGTCTCTAACATATCTCAATAAAAAATCTTCAAATATTGCAGGGACTTAAACACATGTAAAATCAATTATTCATGCCACAGATGTATCATCACCTAATTTGTTGATTTAAAATCAACAGTTAATAAAAATTTAAATAATTTAGACGATTTGATTTTAAATTGGCTATTAAGCACATACGATACATACATATTTTGTTCAAAATTTATATTCGTTTATATAATTTTTTCATGAATGCTTACCAAAATCATTTAATCTTTGTTCTTTGTAGGTATAATTATGTTTTGCAATTAAATATTTCATCTTATTTTTTTCAAAATATTATAATTAAATACCAAGAAAAAAATTGTCAACATATAAATTATTTAAAATAAATTTCAAAATAAAAATTTTACTTGATATCATTAAATTGTATAAGTGAGTTTAAAATCTATTTCAAATTTTTTATGTTAGACATTTTGGAAAATTATAATTTTTTTCAAGTTATATATTTTAAAATATATTTATGTATTTATTTTATTTCAAAACTTCAAATTCTGAGTTCAATTTTGTATTAAATCTTTATTGTACTTCGCCAACGGTGGTGACAAAGTTGCGCAAGTAAATGCTACTTCCATGTGGATTTGTATTTCTCTACCGTACTATTAGCATTGACTTTGCGCATTTTAGTTGCCATTTGTCTATTGCGTGGAAGCATATTGGTAAATATGTTGGATTTCAACGCTGTGGACCCATGTTTATTTTGAGCGTACCGTTCAACCTCTCTTCCAAAATTCATTTCTCCTTGACATTCAGCTCTGTATGTATGGTTCTATATACCTGTGTGTAGATCAACGCCAATAAACTTCATTTCTCCTAGGCTTTCACCTCTGTATGTATGTTTCTAGATAACTGTATGTCATGACTACTAAAATCTGGCTATCTATTTTTAGACGACAGAATTGCCAAAAAAGAATCTGGCCAATCTACTAGAATTTGGCCAAAATTCCGTGCGTTATATGGAATTTTGGCCAGATTTGCAAGGAACTCCAGGAGGGAGTTAGGGTAAGAATGCCTGCTCCCAAAACAGCACGTGAGTGAATGAGCTTTAGTTTGCCAGTGGAGTGGGGATCGCGAACCTCTGAATGCTTCTAACCTGACAGTATATTGAGAGTAATGCTAATTGCTCACAAAAGAAGTAGAAGTGCATTGGTTAGTTATCATTCAGTTAGGGCTAGATATCACTCACGTTATAGAACAAAGCTCTGTGATTGGTCACCAGACTGAGCAGAGCTCTATGATTTGTCAGGACTCTCCCTATGTTTGCTAGAGATCTGTGATATAGTCTTCAGAAGCGGGAGAAGTAGTGCACATTAGCCTAGGGTGTGCGATAATTAGCACCTCATTAGAAGAATTAAGAAATAGTTGAGAGCAAATTGCACAAGAAAAAAAGAGAATAAGTAAAAAAAAATCCACTGTGCGTGTATTATCAGAAAGTGATTATACTGTTTCTATCGCATTATCGTAGGAGTAGGGAAGGGATGTGTCCAACCGTTTACTTAACTACACGTTAGTACAGCATTATCTTGACGCGAAGAAGAAACATTATAACCAAGAAACCTTGTTGTGCATGTGACACTTTAAACTGGTGAATGCTACACACATCGTGTGAGCATTATAGAAAACGTGTAAGAACAAGTACTATATAGCAAAAGCTATTCTCACACCAAGAAGTGAATGTCATCACCTCGGTTAGGTCTTGTTTACTAGCAAAAGACTTATTCAAATGCAGGCCACGAAAATGCGCGAAACAGCGAAAGGGTCATACTCCTTGCGACAACTGCAGGAGGATTTTTACGTGCTCAAATGTGAAACATACTGACGCTCTACTTAAAGCGTGATGACTTAAGAGTGTTACCGGTTGTGTTGTTCTACTCATGTTTGATACACTTCTGTTCTGGGCTGAGTAGATAAATTCTGCCCTTGAGCCCATGATCCCATTGGACTTCTTGCGGGCGTTAGATTCAATTTATTCATTCTGTAATACAAACTCTACTGGACGTGGAAGAGCCAAATGAATGTATTCTAGTCCGAGGGAAAATGCCAATTCGAGATTTCGAGATCACACAAACGTTTTAAACGTTGAGTAGCGTAAAATTTGACAAAATTTCTCACAATTTATCTCTTGAAAATTCAATTCTTAATTATAACAACACACACTGTAGCAAGATTGCATCAAAGCACTTAATAGTCATCACAAGGCACCACAACTGCGATATGCCTTCCGACCATCCTTCCAAGTATGTAGCATAGATTTCCTGAGATTGTTCTTCAGATTTCCTTGCGAGTGGAATGTATGTCGAACTCTGAGATCATAAGTCATCTTCACCATACTCAAATTCGCTAGCAAGCATTTCAGGTGGATACTCCAAACCTCTCACATGTACATTATAGCAAGCTGAAATCAAACATCCCAAATATTAGAATTGTAAGTCGAGACAACAATTTGCTTAAAAAAACACCTAAAATTTTGCTTAATGCAGAAGTAAATCAGGAAAATGCTTAAGGGTGATGAAATACCCGTTTCAACTTTGATGAGACTCTGCAGCATTACATCTGATTTTGTTTTCCAATCACGAATATTATCCTGGAGGGCAGGAAGCATGCTGAATCCTTCATATAAACCACGAATCAAATTGCATACTGAGATGGCAGCTTGTCGTTCCCCAGCAGCAATCCCACTCACGGCAAGTCGCATGAGCTCTCCAGTCAAGTCTCCCACCTTAACCAAAATACACCACATATTATATGAAGTTATCTACAGCTTTACAATGACGAGTTTTTCCAGTAGTTTGGACAGCCGACGACGGTACTTATAGACACATCTTAGACTTAAAAGGACATACACTTCTTTTTCTAGTCTGTTTCCAGAACTTAAGAAACAGACTCTATAACTCATGCATACTGTAACTGGATGTCATTCTAGTTTATCGACTTGAGAATTGTACATTTACAAATCGCCATTTTCACTTCAATGTGATATATAGGAAAGAACAACGGAGGAGTCTGCTGTACTTCTTACTGCATCTCATATTCTCAATATAATGAGGAAGTATTACAAACTTTCACACACTAATTTTCGTTAGATTCTATAATTTCTGAGCCATGTTCATGGCAGTAGCAATATCTGGCTTGGGGTAATAGCCACACCTAAGTGGGAATTCAAATGTACTAATTTAAATTGTTGATTACGTCCTACTGAAAAAAGTGCAGCCAACGTGGTTGAGAAGAAATTGAGATAAGTCAGTGTCACATCTTACCCCAAGAATGTAATCTGGGATGCTCACTTCAAATGGCTTGTTAGCAGCATCCTTTATGTTGGCAAAGCTCTGGTTCAATTGTTGTAAAGTCAGCAGCTGACCACTTTTCACGAATTCGACGGTGGTAGCAGCTTCCACGAACTCCTGCAACTGTTTATGCAGAGTTTTGAAACATTAGACCTCTAAAGGGATGAGGAATATCTCATCGGAATAACCAAGTCATATCGACTGCATTTATTTTTCGTCTCTCATACAACTTGTCTTATTAAGTAGCGTTACTCTCTATATGAATCTTAGTTCGATAGTATATTATCATGATGCAGAAAAACATTGAACATGGAACATTAAACCCCACCCCTGGTGAATATGCTCTTCTAAACTTCCAGTAGTCATTTCCCTGCAGCTCTTTGGCAAGACGCGTCACTTGGTTGGTACGGACTGCACTCAGGTCTCTCTCTGCCTGCTCCAACATTGCTGTCTTATTGATCCCTGAAACCCTATTCACGACACCCAGAAGATGGAGAGGTGCAGCAAAGATATATTACAAGGTGAATATCACTGGCGCTATAGATTCACGAGACACAATCTAATGTGCCTTCGTATACGACAGCGAAGTCTGGTGATGCTCTTAAGCACATCAATCATTCAGAACTGATGTAAAAGATTCTACAAAAATCTGATTTAGGAGTAAATGAAATTGCAAAAGCTGTGTGCAATCTTTCTATCACAAATTTAGGTACTTGAACTTAGACACCACTAGGCAGTATGAGGAAGTGATCACACAAATATCACACCCATAAGGCATACAATGTAAATGCACTTCAGACCCCCATTTCTGGGAAGTGTTAAGAGACGTCATAACTGATGTTTTGTGAGGCAGATTTACAAAAAGTCTTCATATTGCAGCTTCCTCTAAGATAAGTTATGGACCATGACACTGGCCTTACTGATAGGGAGGACCTAAACTCCTTTTACTCGCAACGGTCGAAGCTCAATCAAAAACTCTGAACTATGTAAAGCATTTCATCTTGTCAAATTTAAGTCTCGCCTCTTGCAGGTGATATTCCACAAGGATCATCATCCACTATGAAACACATCAGTATGGGCCCTTGGAAGCATGTAAATCTGCTGAGCAACCAAAATCAACGATTCAATGACTGATACAACTAGGCAAGAGACAGTCCTTTGACACTCGTCTTGTAAATTTATGAGATATGAGCGAACGAAAGTGAGAGAAGTTACCTGTGGACGGCAAATATGACCTTCTTGCTATGTATGGTAATATCACGGCTGGCCTTCACAAGCCTCTCCCGCTTTTCATTCTGCAAAAGCATTTTGTACCGCAACCATTAAACTTGACAAACAAGTCTCCCGGATGATACAAGTATTCAAACGAGTGACGCTCGGACAATGTTGACAGTATGGGCAGATGTGAACTGCGCCGGGATATGCAACATCAGCGTGGACACTTTACGTTCGGAATCATCTTATAAGGTGACGGAATGAACGGCAAATCCACAACATGAAGGAGGTTGCCCAGGATGATGCTGCTGAAAATTTTCAAATATCTACTCACCATGAGATCGAGTGCCCGGCCAATCTCCTGAAATTTTGACTGTAACGGACTTTCTTCTGCCATTATCCTCGGCTTCTTTCCTGTATACCCCACCGAAAATTCCGATTAGCTCACGACTCTCATGACTGCACACTCGAACTCAACCTCAAGCTCAACCTCTCTCAGCACAAAATCCTTCGCGCAAATGATCAACTGAAACTTTCCAAACTCGTAAACCTTGAAACTCTTTGGACAGGCCTCAGGTCGGCGACCCCATACAGACTACGAACGTCATTGTTCATACAAATTTGCAATGATTGAAGACGGAGCTGCCCATTCGAACGTCAAGAAAAGCACATCGCTTACCCAATGCCCGTTCAGCGATATCCTCCGAGGCCATAAAAATTCCTCCAACTCTCTCTCTCTCTCTCTCTCTCTCTCCTTACTGTTATACGAGGTTACCAAGATTGCAATTCGCCAGAACAACAGAATTTGGCCAATAACATGGCTACAGGCGTTTTACTTCAACATTGATACAAACATTTGATTATAATCTCTTTTAGATCCCTGCCTCTATCCGCAGTTGCTTCTTGTTGTGTTTGGGTACTTCAAGGCCTACAAAAGTCCAAATCCTTCCTTTTCATCGTCCTGAGGCTCGTCAGCTCGTCAGCTTGTCTGGATTTTTCTAGTGTCAGGCGTGCGGCCGGAAAGTGACTTGCCTCCAGGTTCCAGAGCACTATACAATCATTGAGGACCGGAAGGAACCACCGAGGCCGAAATCCGGAGAACCGGGAAGTCTCCTCTTCTTATTTACGGGACTTTCTGCCGCTATTCGATTGCTAAACGTAGTCAATGCCTCCAAATCGTTCTCATGTGATTACGAGCACTGCCGTGTGGACTTCCGCATTCTTCCATCGAGTAATCGAGTAAAGCAGTTGCGTATACAAACCGACTTCGCGTGTTGGAGGTACGATGTCCTTTGCACCATGTTACATGTTTAAGAGATTGATAATTTCTTGTCGTTCTTGAATGATGCGAAGTAAGTGGGCCTGATGCATCTTTCTAGGCTAACGAGAAAGAATGGTAATTCATGGATTTCCTCCCTCGCGTTTTGCTATCATTATAAATGATATATTAGGTGTATGTGTTAATGTTATTAAACATTTCGTAATATAAAATCATTTTATATGGAATGACCGTGAATAAATTTAATTGTGTGTGCTGTCAATTGAAATAAAATTGAGGGGCTCTAAATAAAATGTTAAACACAAGTATAATCTTTAGTATAGATCTTGACAGTTCCGGACTTTCCGGATACTCACTATGTGAAAATATTAAATCTGCTAGCACAATCCGGAAATTAATGGAATGTTCTAATTCTAGCTCCAGGGGAAAGTAAGTTGATCAACCAGCCGGAAGTGTTTGTTCCAGGGAGAAAGAAGAGGGATCCAAACTGCGGTAGAACAGTACTGCCATTTTGTTCGCGCTCGTGCCAGGGTCAAGTATTTGGGTGATACTTAATCCTCGGTTCCACGTTCAGCCGTGAATCTAAGGAGCTTAAGTTATAGATCGCTGAGAGTTCTAGCTTGACTTCAATCCTACTAAGACTCCGTGGTATTTGTGATTCTTATACATTCTCACTACTGTAATATAAGTATGGTACTACTAAAGAGATAGTATTCGCATCACCATAATGCAGATCTCATTAAAAGTGGCATTTTCTTAAAAAATGCACTTTGCCACAATTAAAATCGGGCCGATGCAACAATTAAGCCTTCTTCTATAATGACTCTTTGGATGCATTTGAGTCATTACGGCGTAAATTTTTATAATTTTGGAACCAATGCGTAAAGTTTATGGAATAATTTAACTATACCAAGCATTAGATAGCACTGCCGTAAGTATGCTCTAAGTGACTGAAAAGAGAATCTATGGATCTGTGTTTTTGAGTTGATTGTGGACAAAAAATTAAGTAACTCATGATCACCTTATGGATGTAAATTTTGGAAGAAAAGAGTACAGTAGAACCTCTATAATCTTATCAAGCTGGAACCGGCCCTTTTTGATAAGTTTATAGAGTTGATAAGTTTCTAGAGTTTATTAAAATTGATTCATTTAATTTTGCTTGATTGGTCTCATAACCATCCGGAAGGTTGCAGAAAGGTTTGGAAGGTTAAGAAGGTTAAGAAGGTTATGGCAAGGAATGCAGTACCTCGAAAAGACATAAAAGTTGTTTGATACCCAGGTTCCGTGTGTATTGGCTGTGGTATTGTAATGGGGTGTGTAGGGCACTGTATCCTGGCGTACTGTATATAGTTGGACTGTGTAGAAGAAAACTTCTCAAAATGTAAACTTAACCCAGGAAAATCCCTAACCCACGTCAGATACTTAAGCAGCCAACAAACAAATGTGAACAAAAGCTTAGGCAGACAACCATTACAAGTTTCTTTAGTCGATCATAGTCGTACAAATGTAGCTCGGAAAGCACATCAACCTGAATATAAGTTTATAAAAAATTCGGGGCAGCCAAAACTTGACAAGTTATAAGATTATAAATTTTTTGCCTGGTCCCATGCCGGGACCGCACAATTTGATAAATTTTTGGAGGTTATAAATTTATGGAGTATAAATTTATAGAGGTTCTACTGTATATGTTATACTCTTTTTTTCCAAAGAAAATAATATTACATGGAACTAATGCATTCTTCTAAAACTCTAATGCCATAATATTCTGGTTATAAAACCAAGCTTTTCTCTAGTCCTAGGATGACATGTGATTTCACTCATCTTCGGATGAGGTTTAGAGGAGGATAGAGGTCACGTTTCGTGGATTTTGGAAGTTGGCACTATTCAGGTGAAGTCTAATAACCTCATCGTTAGGATCAAGAACCTCAAACTCATTTCTTCTCAAAGGATTAGAGCTATGTGCTTTGAGTATACTCGCGGTGAATATTTTTGCGGCCTGTTCATGCACTCTTCTAAATTCTCGTTAGATATCGATGGCTTTAGATGTTTGTTGAACATAACATGAAAGCGAACCTAAGTTAGACACAATAGAGAAAGAACTCACCCTCACGTTCTCGTGAAATAATCTCAATCTTTTATGGTTTCAAGACTGGCACAAAAGTTTTTCAATAAAAATGCTACAAATGACACTTTTCAGAAATTTTGGGTGCCACAATTAACAAAAAGGTGGCAAAAGTGGCAATTGCCACTTTAAATGAGGTCTACCATAATGTGATGGTGGGAATTAAGACTTTATGATGGATACCTCATCAGCAATGAGAGGTATGTTTCACAATCTACTCTTTGGAGATTTATTTGTTTTCGGATGATCAAGTTAATATTGTATACATGATAATCTAATGTGGATTCACATATGTTTTAGGTATAAACATATGTTTTAGGTATAAACTTCAGTTTGTTACATATGGTAATTATTCTTAGAGTTGATGGGGTTTTTTAGACAACGATAATCATTAATGAAAAACAATTGAAATGACAATATCAAGATTTGTAAAGTATATGTGTATTGAGAGATGGAGCAATTTTTAACTTCTTGAGTTTTGTGTGAATATTTTGGTATGTTGACAAGAGTGTGGACAACAATATCTCATGATGGAAAATAGAAAGATATATCACATTATTTAATAAATTTTGTAATCGAACTTTGTGAACGTTTTGTCTATTATTCTACAAATGATTAAGTAATATTGTACATAATAGAAAAAAGTTGGGATGAAAAGTTTCCTATGCTTCAGATGTTTTTAGACAATTTGACTTTGAATATTACAGTAACTGAATGAAATAAATTTTGGCGATAGTATTGGAGCATGAATTAAGATCAATTTTTTCATTCTATGATTGTATTGCTCGATGGATCTTCTCAACATTCTTGCTATTTCATAGATATTGTCTTTCTTTCATAGTTCATAGGTTTAGACTAAATTACATGTATATATATATATATATATATATAAAAGATACTTAGAAATAATTTTCATAAAAAAACGTAATATTTTGCAACAAAAATTACACTTATTGCATATTTGCAGAATTTTCTTCAATTTATAACATTCTAAGCATGACAAAGTAGTGCTACAGATTTTGAATCTAATATCCATGTTTTTTTTCAAAAAGTATTATTACTTCAATCTATCAATTGACATAGAAAACGAAAAGTTGAACTCAGTTGACACAAATACCAGCCACTAGCTGTCAATCTTTATCATATTTAGATAGATTTGCATAACCATGAAAATATATATATATATATATATATATATATATATATGATGGTAAACATCATGCATTAAATGATCAGTGTCCAGTAAATATGATGGGAAGAAAATAGATAAAATATCCAAACTGGAATAAATTTACACTATATTAAAATATTTGAATTTTTATTACGAATAAACAGAAACAAAATACAATTTTCAAAAAAAATTAACATTGAAGTATTTTGACAATTAAATTTTTTTTCAATTTTTTTTGCTTCTACAATTGTATGAAGTTCTTTGCTTAAGAATATTAAAATGTGAAAAAACCTCCATTTTATGTCCGAGTGTTCAAGAAGCTGTCTAAACAGTTGATACTATACAAATCGCAAAATCAGTTTGTTGAAATACATCATGATCAAAAGGCAAGGCAAGATGAATAACAATAATTAAACGTTGGAAAACAGATAGTAAATAATTGTGAAAAAACTGAATTACAAGCGTGTTTGAGTGCTTACGTGTATATAGTAACGCAATCTTTGCCCTGTTGATATGATTCAATTTTGGTCATCATAATTCACTCTCATATATCTCTTGTCTGTATGCGTGTATATTGTGAGATATAGCATGTCTTCGCATGATATTTCAATATCTGAACATAATTCACTCTCATATATCTCTTGTTTGTATGCGTGTATATCATGAGATATAGCATGTCTTCGCATGATATTTCGATATCTGAACAGCAATATGCGCCTGCGCATAGTCAACTCAAATAATGCAAAGTTGATTACATGCTAAGGGATTAGGATTTGAACATACATTTCACGTGTACTTTTATAACCGATGACCTGTTTGGTACGCGTGTATGCTGTGAAGAATCACTGTTGTTAAGATGAGAAAAAATATTAGAAATGTGGGTAGAAATCTACCTATTTACGGTATTTACCCTTGACTAGTTCATTAATCGAGTGCATAAACGGTTGATTTCGACTAAGGCCACTTGTACACTTACATTTGCTTAAATTTTTCTTAGACGCTCGCATTCGATTGTCCACGTGCATATTTGGAAAGATTTCTTTCGTTAATTGTCTGAACATATTATAGAAAATTCCAAAGCAGATAAATGTGTAAAAAATATTTTACATTTTTTTTTGTTGGTTGAGTAAGGTGACACGAAGATTAGAATAAAGATGGATAGATTTTTGTTCTTCCATACTCCTAGAACTGAGATTTACAATATCCCATTTGATTACGACACAGAAGCAATTTCTGCAAATAATTCACTACGTAGAACATATCAAAATGCATGCACGTCTACATGTTTAGTGTTTTAGTAACTCAGAAATCTAAGACTTTTTCGTAATTCTTTCCAATTAAGCGAGTGTGAAAAGATCCAAAAAGAAAGTCGAGTATAAGATAAATATTGTGATAGGATAATTTTGGAATGTGTAATGGCTGTATCAATTCGTGCACAAATTTACACTCATGATACATTTATAAACACACAGAAACATTAACACGAGGAGATGAATATTCCATCTAAAGTAATGTCCGAACTAAATGGGCCATGATTTTAAACAGAAGTCCTCGCATTTGAGAGCTTGCGATACCACACCTCGCAAATAAATTCGAACAAGAAATTTTCTAACTTCTGATGCGAGTCTGTTCAGTTGGATAGATTTATTATGAAATGGTACACGAGAGTCGTACTTAAAGCTAACACAACGTGGTCGGAAACGGCAATGTCATACAATCATATCGTGTGATACTCCGAGGCGTTGTTAAAGAACCACCATACACCACAACGAACAATAATGTCTTTTGAAGATAGATATTTGTGGGTCTAATGTAGTGTCACAGATACTCTCATGGGTACATCTATCCACTGTTTATTGTTGACCTTGCAAGCTCGCAAATACAATTATTGTGCTGAGTAGGGACAAGGAGAGCTTAGAACAGAAGACTGGCATCAGAAATAACAGCTTCGATGCCCATGAAATGAAATGGAAAACGATCGTGACACTAATCTGCATCACACAACACCTAATCTGATCTTTATTCTACGATAGGTGCATAGCTCTGACGCCTTACATGATACCCGCAACAGCCTAATTGAAACTAATAAACTGAATCACGTACCGTGTTCTTGTCACATGCAAGAGGTGCTGCAGGTGCCATAGGGAAGAGGCTGCCACAACATCTGTGTAGGCCTGACTCGCATTGTTGAGCTCTAGCACTCCAAGACATGGAGCATGGATTGTCCTCGTTCGACTCGGGTACATTACAAAGGCACTAATGTACTGGACTCGGGTAAAACGTTGACACTCTTTTGGGTTATGGCAGACAAGGCCCTCATTACACGATCCGGTGCATTCACTTCGTCACCGACGATGCGCATGAAAGAGGAAAGAACAGAAAAGATTTCAGCCGAAAGAGAAGCTCAATTTGTAAGTGGCAATTCGTTCGGCGTATCGACCGACAAAGTTGCTCATCACGACGAGCATTCTCGAGTAAATGGAAAGTGAACAAGGAAGGCGTTCGTGGTCTCCTCGAAATCGCACAATAAACAGCGAGTGAGAAATATGATCATGGGGCTCGGCCAAAGGAGCCGATTGTCGTATGCGGCCGAGAAAGTATTGCGCAGACGAGTTCCGGCGGTAACCTCGGCGAATGGACCGGAGGCTCCAACAGAGAGCTGTTGACAATATTGCACGGACGGGTCGGATTCCGTCGGATGCCGTCGGAAGTGCGCGCAGGGCCGAGGCGGCTGGATGGAGATCTTGCCGTTATTCGGGCGGCGATGCTGTTGCATGCTCGGCACTGCCGTCACTGTATTGGCGCGGGTTGCTAACGGACGGAGACATGCAGGAACCTAAAGCGGACGTCGCCGAAGTTGCATTCACGTGTCGGAATGTGAAGCGCTGGAACGCTAGACGCGAAGAATTCACGAGAGCGATGCGACGACGAGAGCTCAGATTTTGGATCCACATTCTGCGCTCGTGCTGTACATGTTCTCATTTCCCCACATTTCGTTCTTGATGCTGTCGGGTGCCAAGACTGGACTGTTGTAGCCCTAATATTGGGACGTCCATTCTCCAGAGCAGGACTTGATTCCCTGCGTCTCGCCCTTGCAGAAGCGTGGATCCGCGACGTGCGACTGGTGGCCGTGTACCACTTTGAATTTCCGCAGTGCCGGGTGTGGATTTCGTTCCAGAATTCCTCCACTCTTCGTCTCTTTTGACCTAATTTGGAGCATTCATGCGGGCCTCGAGACGCTTGCGCTTGATCCAGAGTCTCCCTGGTGCAACGGCCTGAACATTCTGTCCAATTTTACAGGAAGTGCCCGTACTGTCATCTGTCAATTGCTCTCTGGAGGTCCGGAGAAGTCATAATATTCACGGGCAGTCGTGGACTCGGAGCAGCTTCCCAACGTTTAGCCCATTCCCTCGACTGCCCGTTTGGGAAATTTGCGTGTAGGGTGCTCCATGCACAGACAGTGATTGCCTGATGCAACGACGGCTACTGCTGGAACCAATTCGAAGACATTCTGTGATAGCTCGCTTGAAGCGGACGCTAGGATCGGAAATTGATTATCAGTTGGAGGTGATCGAAGGAATTCTCGTTGATCTGGACCGAAATCCCGATCCCTGTAACTTATCAATTTGGAAAACTTTGGATCTATTCTGAAGAATGCTCCATGCAGTTTTCTGGGCAAGAATTTCCACGTAAGTAGATTTAAGGCTGAACTTACTTCGGGCTTTGCCGCCAGCAATCAGCAGTCGTACCGGGTTTGTAATGCTGTTTGGACGATCGACATTTCCTTCGAAACGAGAATCATCCGCTCGGAATTAAAGCATCACCTGTGCTATCCGTTTTGAAATTAAGCAAGGTGGCAATCGGCGAACGCACTGGCGGCCGAGGAAGCTGTTGGCGTGGCTGGCTTGGCCGACGCCGATGGCCAAGTCGAGATCACGACTAACGGTTTTGTGGCAGCCAAGATGGAGAGTGAGGATGGGAAGACGAATGATTCGGTTGCCACTGTCGGGTCGAATCCCGAGCTCAAATGTCTGCTCAGTGGGGCTGTGAAAGATGCGTCGTCGGCGGCAGCAGCAGCAGAAGCTGCAGAGGCACCGCCGACGACTGTCACTCCAGATTTCCCTGCTGCGAAGAGTGAACCTGCAGTCAAGGATGTCGAAGTCGAAGTCGAAGCAGAGATGGAGGCCAAGGAGGTCAAGAAAGTGTCGGAAACCGAAACGATAGTGACTGCGAACGGCAATGCGGACCCTACAATCGCGGAAGGTGCAGACGAGGACGACGCCTTACCGTCGGAAGCCGATCATGTCACCATCCCTTCACATTGGCATGCAACACCGTGCGTGCACATCACTGGGCTCGCAGGGGTCGTCACGGAGGAGGTGAGCACAGAACGTCTTTTCGTCCTACTATTAATAGATTCCTCATGTCTCGTGAATTTGGTGATAGCCCCCCTGTTTTGCCATTCACGTAGCCTCGTGAAGATATACCCGTTTGCCGATTTACCGTTCAGTAGTTACACGGGTTAATCTTGTATTTATCTCACCAGCATAAGAGGGAAACGAGGCGCGTGGTTAAATGAATTTCTTATTATTATTTTAATTATTTTCATCATTATTTTCCTTCGTAATTGCTATTCCAGAGGAGTACAGAGCATTCATACCGATGAATATTTTTGGATTGATTTACCGATTCCTTTTGTTCGAGTGGGTATATCATTGATTTTGCAGAGTAAGGGTGATGTGTAATGCTTACTTTGGCTTATCCCAAGCGATAGTGATTTCTCGCTTCTCACTGCGTGGCTGGGAAGAAGTAAGACTTGCGATGAGATCCAGGGCTTGTTGTAATCACGTTGGAGCAAGCGCTGTATTATGTGTATGTTTGATTATATCGTGTTTCTGCATAATTAGCCAGTTGTCCCTTCTTCAGATGCTGGGAGTACCGATATTAGTCATTTTTCGTCGAGTTGAAGGCATAAAAGTCCTTGTCTGGGTCTTAACTCACGAGAGTAATTGTATTCCTGCTCATCTGGTAGGCTTATTTCAACACTGTGAAGTTCGCTCCGACTCTTTGTTGACATTTGTCTAACTTGAAATTCCAGACTCTTATATATAGAACCTATCTCAGTCGGAAACACTGATAGTAGTCAATAATACCCGTCTCACGGCAGTGGGAAGAACAAATGTCATCTGAATGTCCAGAAGATATGCCCAGCCTGATCTCTGACTTAATGCCTTGCTTACTAAATCGATTTGTCGAGAATTCCCTTCGAGAGTAGCTCTAACGTTCAGCTGGGAACCTAGCATCCAGATTATTGCTTTCTACATTTTCTTTCTACTTATCTCCACAAATCTTTCTAGTCAATCAGAGGAGCAGCTCTGGACCCTTTATCCTTTACCTTGGATGTAGACTTGCTTGAGTGAGTGCAATGCATTCTGCTTCAGTATAGAGATTGCAACACTCTTAGGGTCGTGAGAACTACGGACAGCTATCCCTCCCTCAACTGAATTATAGCACATCTCGGAAGTCGACCAGACACTCTGTCGTCTGCCCAGTCTGCGACACCGAAAGTCGTTACTTGCCTAGTCTCATTAAAAGGAGCTTCAGTGAAGACCTCTGGTAATTCAAGTACCTTAGTGTATACGTCGCTGCCATACAAAAGGTTAATTTTCGATTTTGGACTTACTTCTCACCAGGACAAGACATACCCTTGCGTTTGGTCGAAAGACATATTTACTTCACAGACTTGTGTACTGTTTCTCACAAATAAGTATGTGCAGCCACGGCGTTCCGTAGTTTCCTTAAACTTGATTGCTGGTTCACGCAACACATGTATCGCACATGGAGGTAAAGATTGGCAGTTTGGGCGTTCGATCATTCTTGGTCTCCTTACTGACTGATGTTCACGCTGTTACAGTGAGTGAAGTGTATGTGGACCTTCGAGAGTGAACTGAATCTTCACTTCACTGACAAGTAGTTGTTCACCATTGATATCTATTGCGCAAAAGGGATCGTAGATACTTCAGCATTTGTGACCTCTCTACCTACTTTATTTTTAGAACATTGGTTCTCCACGGCGAAGCTGCTGATGGTTTGTTGTAACTAACACCTTCATGGATTACAAGAACTTATTAGTTCGAAACATCTGGCCTGCAGGCTCTAGGTTTGTGATGGTCTGTGCCCTGGGTTATATTCGACTCAATTTAATTTCGGTGCATCTTGTGACCTGCTTACGAGTTCTACCCTTTCAGTTAGTATATTTCTTGTTTTCTTGTTGCATTTCAAGTTGCTCAGCTGAGGCTTTCGTCAGTTTGAACACAAATCTGGACATTTGTTTTTGCTACTCTTTCGCAATCTTCTTTTCCTTTTGAAAGTTTGGTCCTCCGCCCAGGACCTGAGTGCTTTGGTGTTGCTGCTTTATCATATTACGTGTCACGTGACGTTTTAGATCAACTGTTGAAGCAAGATTTCTAGCTGAGATCTCATACACCATCGGACTCTGGAGATGGAATATAGACAAACATACACAATTATAAGAGATAAGAGATAAATTTCGCTAGCTTAATGGTGGACTTCTGGTGTGATTGAAAGCACTTTTTCTTAGAACAAGTTATATCTTACACCTAGGATGAACTTTAGAAACATTAATTTGTACTCTAATCACTCAACATTAAGCTGCTAGGTGGAATAAGGATTCTCTGACAGAATTGAAAAGAGCAAGTAATGAAATCCCCATCTTGGGAGTGTTGCTATACCTGTTGGCATTTTGAACTTGTACAAAATATCAATCGTCTTGTCACCCGGCAGCTCGGTGTCACATTAGCTCAGGCCTAATATCATTTGAAATTTCTCTGATTGCAATTGTGGAATTCTAACTCAAATGAGTCCCTCCGTTGGTGTTGTCGTCTTTTGTGTAGGACCTTCTTCCTTTGTTGAGTCCTCATGGTCGTATTGTAAGCATTGTGTTTGAAAATGAAAGAAGAGATTCGGCTGTTGTCCGGTACGAGGTTTCTGACACTGGAGGTGACGACGTTGTTGCGAGAGTACGTGAAGCTCTTAGTAATACTGAAATAAAAGATAAGACGCTTGTGGTGGAACCTTTCCGGCCCGACTCTCTTCTTTTTATTGGCAATCTCACGCCTGAAATCGACGATGCGGTTCTACGGCAAATGTTTGAGCCGCATGGTACAGTAGAGCGCGCATTTGTAAGTTTTCTGTCTTCACTTTGACAAAGCATTACCACAACTGCTGCAATGGAAGTAGTATGTTGACATACCGAACTACACTATTCAAGTGTTCACATGGTTGAAGCATTGATGAATTTCTTGACTCGGTCAGGTTGTAAGGAATGCTGAAGGCAGGAGCAAAGGCTACGGGTTTGTGGAGTATAGTCTAAAATCTCAGGTATATTATCCTCACCGCTCAATTTGTGCTTAATATTTGCATTATGCACTATTCGTTTTGTTACATGCTTCTTGATTTGTGCAGGCTAATCAGGTGTGTTTGGTTGTGCGTTTCTGTTTTGATTATATTACGTGTACTTGATACTTTCACCTTTCTGCTACTTCCCTGAAACAGTGGTCGTATGTGAAGATACACAAGCTATAGGTGTCCTGCGATTTTGTGCTAATCAGTTTTAGTTTAAAATATTGACGACCCGTGAATATTTTCAGGCAAGTGCTGCAAAAGTTGCCATGGGCAACATCAACATGGATGGCCGTGTGCTTCGTGTGGAGTGGTCAGATTGTCGTAAAATAGTCGACATGTTTTCTACTGTACTATTCGTGGACCGTATTGCAAAAGACTGTCCCCACGTAAGTATCTGTCTCCTCTACAGAGTTTGCACTGCTGTGTTTTTCCACTTGAAGAACTCGCTGAAGGTTTAGTCCGTGGTGTGCCGTTCATTTCAGATTGAGCAATCGCTGAAGAACATATTTGGTCAATACGGAAAAGTGAGGGACTGCCATCTCGCAATCGGAATGAATCAGCAATTCAGGGGCTTCGCCTTCATTGACTTTAATCACTCTACATTTGCCGATAAAGGTGTGTTCTTGTTTGACATATATTTACCATACACTGATCTGTAAGCGTGACGTATATGCGTAAATTCTACTTTTTTAATGTGTTTCTAGATGCAAGTAGGCCTACTTCATCCTTTGTTGCTCTTGACATGCGAGGGAGTGCATGAGTATGAGTTTGAGACTTCATGTGTTTATGCAGCTCATGAAGCTTTAGATGGTCGAGAGGTGGAGGGCTCGAACATCAGAGTTAGCTTTGCAAACCCGTCGAAATCAGCACAGGTATGACTTATGCAGCAAGAGAGACAAGACTGAAGTTTGTGCTTCATGCATCAACCTGAGTTTGGAGATCGTTTAGAGATCTAAGACCTGGGTTGGGCCAAGAGCCAGTCAATAGGTTGTATTGTATTCTAGAAACTGTCAAAGTAAATTTCAGGTTCTTGTTCAAATGTTAAAACTTGATGGACTAACAACAGTTATTTTGACTTGGACCGTTACCCACTAAGTGTTGTTTTCCTGACACGTGTTCAATGCTCCACATGTTTGTATACACCTTCAATGCATGGATGCTAATACTGGCAAAGTTATCCTTATATTGACTCGAGGCAATTTGCCAATGTTTCGAAGGTTGTAGATGGATGAACTGGATTGAGAAGAAATCTTTCATTCTTTGCTCAGGTGTGACGTTTATTTTTTGCAGTGGGCTAAGATTTGTTATTTTGGGCTCTCTGACTGCAGTCATACAAATCAAGATTCGGTAGCCAGGGTGTGCAGGCAGTGACAACGCTTGCCGGAAGGGGATCGTTCCCAGGTACATAAAAAGAGGATCTTGTTCTTACATCTGTTAAACGCTGGATTCTCGCAATGAGTGCCTAAGAAAAAACTTTTTGGTTTCAGATCACCTGATGAGGCCAGCAATGGTTGGCGCAGCCATGCGAGGCCACATGGCTATGCCTCTGTTAGGCAACCGCTTTATCGGTCAAGGCCGCAGTAATATAATTGGGATGGGTATCGGCATGGTAAATTACTACCCTTTTATCCAGGATTGTGTGCATCTTGAAATAAATCTTGCTGAAATCCCCGAGAATGTTTTCTGCCGTAAGTCAATACTTGTCTATAAATCGAACGGGAGAGAGGGTGTATGCTTGCACATATCTCCAATATTTAGAGTGTGTTGGGCGTGGAGATCATCTGATTTTGACGTGTTGAACCTCAGCAATTTGGAAGAGGAGCTCCTGTAGGTCCTGGCATGATTGGTCGAAGTCTTGTACCTCCTCTGTTGGGAACTGGTGCCGGTATGCTTGGACCTGGTTCAGTAGCCGCAGGTATGATGGGTCGCGGTATGATTATAGGGAATGTAGCTCCACGAGCAGCATTGCCTGGAGGCTTTGGACCGCAGGGGTCTCGCCCACCGGCTGGACGAGGTATGCTTTGATAGTTAATACAGTAGGTTACATATTGCATAGGTTAACGTCAACTCCCAATGGCCATGGGCCATCTATGTTTTAATTTGTGCCCACTTCACCGAGAGTGCTGTTTATTGGATCTTAAGTGAACCTAAATAATTTAATCTCAGTGCCTCCCTGACTTGTTTCAGGTCCTGTTCCGATAAACTCAGCTGCCATTGCACAGGTCAGTAAACGTCTTCACATCTAATGCTTGTGTTCTTTGGTTGTTCATGGATAGCCAATCCTGGACTCAATCCCTTTCTGGGAGGTTACGAGATAATCTGGATGCTGCTGAAGTATGTTTACAGTATGTTTTAGGCCTACCTCCGACTTACTAGGAATGTGGTCTGTGTGTTCTTGCATCGCTCACTCTATGAGAACAAGGATACCAGTTCTACTAGGAGAAGAATAGCAACTGTTGAAGTTTTGCTCTAGGTTGGAAGTCTGTTTAACCCTCATCGTTTTCAACTTCGGTGGCTAGGGTCTGATCCATGAATGTTTCCTTTTATTGTTGGGAACAGGTTGCTACTGCACAAGCTAAAGCACGTGAGGAGGAAGCTAAAGCACGAGCTGAGGTCTGTGATAATTTCTGCAAGGAAATATGGTATTTTGAAGCATAGTTTGTGAGTTCAGGTTTGTTCGCACCGATCAAGCGTTTGGTGCAGACGCATATCCTTAACAATCTGTAAATTTTCAGAAGACGTTTACTAGTAGCCAAAAGCAGATCTAATTTCAAGTTCTTTCTCAGGCCCAGGCAAAGCAGTCTCAAACTGGGGCTAAACAAAGTGCTGCAGAGCAAGAGCGCTTAGAGCAGTTTCGCAAAATGGCAGCGCAACAAGCTCAACTTGCTCCGGTACATTATTTGACTGTAAAGCTCTCATCCATCAAATCCATATTGAGCTAGCACTTAAATGTTGCGTTGAGGCGAGTTCGATTGTATCCATTCTACTTACTTTCGCCTATATATAGCAGAAGTTGATACGTGTGTTATCCCACATCGACTGCAGCAACCAAGTCATAATTATTATCAGCAGCAGCTTCCGTCTACTGTACTGGATCAGCATTATAAGCAGGCCGACACTCCATACTCTTATCAGCAGTCTCAACAACAAACTGCTCAACAACAATCTGCTGTACCAGCTCAGTACCAGGTACTAAGCTGCGGAATGGGTGGACAAATGATCTAAGCACATGAGTGGCCACTTTACAATGAAGACGCTCTTGAAGTTGTGACTACTCAAAACACTTTAGCATCAAGTTTATAGTCTCTTAGCTGCAACGGGGACGCAGGCAAGTTGTGTTCAGTCTGTCAATAAGTTCTAGTTGCTACAGGATGTTAATTCTTGTTGTTCATGATGTTTGATTCCTTCATATCTTTCCGTAAAATCCAGTAATATACCATGCTTCTGATAAAAGGGTAACCAGGACTAACAAGACAGGATAGTCTAATGCCCTGAACACGTTTACTGTACTATCCTCTTACAACATCCTTCTGGTTTTTTCCTTTCTTGTGGTTATGAATGTTTGATCTATGTCCACGATAGTTTACTTCTTTTTGCTCTGGAGTTTCCTCAGTGTAGTTCGTACTCATTATTCCTCTAGTCTCTTGATTTTCCTACTAACGGGGAACTGACCTTGTCACGTGTGGTTCTTCTGTTTCGGTGGTCATTTTCAATGCACTGCCTCATGGAAATACGAACACTAGAAGCAATGATTGATGGCGTTTTGGTACTGAAGTTTCTTTTGATGCCCTGGAGCAGCATCAAGCATCTGTGCAGCAAATATCAACCGGACAACAGACCCAGCAGTCTTTCAACACTCCTTATTGCCAACAGCCCACGCAACAGTATTCTCAAGTACAGCAGCAGCCGCAACCGCAGCAGCAACCACAACTGCATAATCAAACTCAGATAGCAGCTGCTCAACCTCAACCTCAGCAGCAGCAGTTGCAACAACAACAGCAGCAGCAACAATTGGCGGATCAGGTGTGTGACTTTCAAGTTATTATCCTTCAGAAAACCTCAGAAAACCTCAGAATGAACGGAAAGTTGAATCGACAGGGATTCAAATGAACATGGTACATAATCGTACAACAAATGCAAGGCCAAAAGTCACGTAGGCTAAAATTGAAATCAGGAACCTCTAATCTTCATTTGCCCTGCATATAACTTGCCATGTCACAGATGGAACTCATCACAGGGTGCACTTGAACACTATCAGTGTAAGAAACTAACATTATATTCATGGTCTGAAGCAGTACTCTCAACAACAACAGGCTTACTATCAGCAACATAGTCAGCCAGCGGCTCAGGTATTTGAGGTCGTCTGAAATTTCTGAGTTCGTTGGTTAATAACTTTAGTTCTGACATGCCATGCAACAGCAAAGGCCTTAGCCCCTCATTGTTAATTCAGATTGAACTCACGTTGCAGGCAGTCGTAGGAATTCAGCAGCAGTATGCCCAATATGCACAACAGTACGGGCAACAATATGGTCAACAATTCAGCCAGCAACAGCAGCAGTATAATCAAGCATATGTTCAAGTAGCTCAACAGTACCCACAACAAGCGCAGCAGCAAGTTCCAGCTCAATATTCGCAACAAGATTATGCAGAGTACTACGCACAACAACAGCAGCCGGTAGGCCAGCAAACTGAGGTTGTTGCCTTAGTACCAGATCCCGTTCCGGTAACCCTAGCTGTCTCTGCGCAAACTCCAGACCTGTCTCAGCAACAACAAGCGTATGCAGCGTATTATCAGCAACGGGTATGATATATAAAGACCGTCATTTTGTAAATTTTTTTCCGGTTTGTATGTTTTTGAAGTCAACCTCTAAACTAACCACTTTAAGTTTAAGTAACTATTGAAATGTGGAATGTGCAGTTTTGTAATGGACAAGGCGTACTGAAATCCTATTTTGACATTTTATCTGAAGTTTTTGATTCTCTAATTTTCTTTCCTGGTCGCAAGCAGGCCCAAGAGGCGGTTGCCCAAGCGGGAACAACATCATCTCAGACGACAACCACCGTAGCGAGTCCTCAACAGACGCTTGAAGCACAGTGGGCTGCATATTATGCTGCCCAGTCAGCACTGCAACAGGTATTCTTTTGATCTTCAGGGGTTTCCTCCTGTGAATGATGAGCTCACATACTAGTGTGTCAAGGTTTCACAACGTTTAATTGAGCGAAAATTGTTTCTTGATCTGTTCTTCTCTTTTGACAGGTTACTACTCCAGGTTCTTACGATCAGCAACAATCAGGCTATGGCCAACAACAGCAAGGCTATGTAGCAACTGGATCAACTGGTTACTACCAGGTATCACATCCATCGTAGTACATAATTGACTTGGTGTTGTATATCTCTGTTTGAGTTTGGAACTTCACTTGAGTAGCGTCTTTTTGTTGAAATTAATATTTGTGGGACGTTTTTGAGCCCTGCAATTCGCTCACATTTTTCTAGTCATCATTCTGATTGATTCTCACGACCTTCAGCAACCCTCCTCTCTGGAAGTCGGAAACAAGCGCACGGCTGACCAAATTGACTACTCAACTCAAGCCCAGGTATGAGCAGCGTCTTATAGCTTTCTGTCGGGAATTGCAAAACATCATGTCGGGGCATAAGGTTTTAATGCTCTATTTCAAGGCGATCTGACTTTTCGTCATGAAATCCAGTGTTCATCAGTTTCATCTTTGGGCATGACTTTCGAGTGTATAGCGGCACTGCAGTCCCTTATCATGGTTTCTCAAAGTTATGGGAACCCAAGGTTCCTTAGAAGTTCTGCATTTCGCACATTTGTTAGACCAGCTATTATTGTAGTCCCTCTTAACGTTCTGAGCAATTGTTTGATGCCGCAGGGTAGTTATGCTTATACGCAGCAGCCTGCGGTGACAGTCTCGGGTTATACGCAGCAGCAAGTTGTTAATGGGACAACTCCTTACCAGCAACCTCCAACTGCAGCAGCAGCTGCTTATCAACAGCCTGTGTCAACTGTGAGTAGTTACCAGCAGCCTGCACCCGCTTATCAGCAACATGGAGCGGGAGTGCCGACGTTTATACAGCAAGGCCTTTCTCTCCCAGGTTACACGTTATCTGCTGGAGGTGGTTATCAACAAACCATCGCGCCCGCTCATTCGGTGTACCAGCAACCAGTAGCTCCTGTATCTACAGGATACCAGCAGACGCCTTTATCAGCTGTGCAAGGTTATCTTCAAACCAATCAAACGACAGTATCAACTCCGGCATACGACTATAGTAAACGACCACGATTCTAATCAGAGTTCCTTGAAGAGAGGATATGTAGTAACTCCCTCGAGCAGATCAGCGATCTCCCCTGGTGGGTCTAAATGGACATGTTAAACACTTCACCAAACAGCGTGCCTTGCTCGCAGTTGATGTCGTGATTCGCTCGACGAAGCACCAAGGAAGAGCTTCTTTGCTGGTACGAGGAAGCTGTTCCTCCCTTGCTCACTCATCCTTGCAGACGAAATGGTGCTATTCAAGAATTCAAAGTGTTGCAGATGCAAAGAAGAAGTTCCAATTCTTGTTCCCGAGAGAAACCAGTAAGGGGAAGTTTCCTTTGACTCGAAATGCTGGAAAATGCTGAGAATCTGACTGTAGAAGTCTTGGAGTGGCAACGTCTGCTTAGATCATAGACTTTGGGGGGTTCCGAGTGGGGATTCTTGAAAGCTATGTGGGTTATGTGAAAGTTTACAAACTGTGGAAGAATTAGGCATGGACTTGATTGAGTTCTTGTATCTATGCTTGAAATGAACATGCAGAGAGTGCTTGTACCAGTTATGTAGATGCTATTAAAGTCAGTGAAGAAGGGATTCTGGTTTTGGATGTAGCAGCTGCAAGTCTGGACTTGTGTCTTTCCCTTCCGTAGTAAGGAAAAGTGGATACAGTGGTTTAGTACTAAAGTCAAATATATATACATAAAGTTAAACATCTGTAGGGACAAGGGTAGAGTCACCGTGAGCCATTTATTTGACCAGAGAAAGAGGGTCTTAAGGGCAGTGCGCTTGCATTCTGTTGTGAGGCATCAATCTTGCACTTTTGTAATCTTGAGAGTGTAAAATTAGATTCTGCAAGAAAGTGAATTTCTGTAGCATACAATACGTGCCTGAAGGAGACTGGAACATTCTCATATTCAATGGAAGAGACTTGAATACGCCATAATGGATAATGGCAGGACTAGGAAGTTGAGGCTCAAGAGGTAAGGCTTGTTGCTGGGCAGTGAGAATAGACTTGAAATCTCTGTGCTAAGATGGGATCCTTATGTCAACAACCAATGCCTCTTTTGTGGCTTGCATGGAGAAGAATCCTAAATCTTGAACAGGATGCCGACTACATGAAGATGCACGGAAGATCGGGAGCAAGTACCCTAGGAGCAACAATGTCTTCGCTCGGTGCCGCGGGTTTTACCCATTCACCCATTTGATGTGGGTAATAGACACAGTGACTTAAAGAAGCCGTGGGTTGGGATTGACTGGATTAATCACCAAAACTGAGAATGAGTAGGAAGGGGATGGCTGGATAAATCATGGTCACAAGAGAAAGGCAAGGAACTGGGAAGCCCTCTTTCTCTCATTGTGAGGACTAAGTTATTGGAAAAGTTTATTTTGCTGGTCATGTAGAGTGCAACTTTTGCTCAATGAAGAATGGCAAGCTTTCTCGTCATGTGTATTGATTTTTTTACTTTAAGCTTGCAGCTCATTGCATTCAGGACATAATATACAAATCTATTCTGAAGAAAGTAGTCAACAGCATGTAGTGTTCTTACAGCATATGTATCGCTGAAGACATGTGTAGTTGTTTTATAGTTGTTGTTTCACTCTTAGTTAAAAGGTTGGCATTTATCGTGCATTGTGTTGAAACATTTGGGTATTGAATTCTTGTTCACCTAATAAATATGTAGGCAGTATTTCGCAAGTCTTGTGAAGCATTTATTTGATCAAATTTTACTATCAATACTTACCCTGCTAATAAAATATACTCTTATGGTTGCCGACTGGGTTGTGAAACTCGTCCAGAAAGTGCTTAAGTTGTGATCGAAAGTGCCACGTATCGGTCTCCATTGACTCATCTGCAATGTGTCGGTGTCACTGTGAGCAGCTCGTAGGAAGTGCTCTCCAGATTGTCTCGAAATTATACCTCTTCTGGAGAAAATCGGCGCAGGCTGACTTCTGTTCTGGTAATCTCTGTGGATGAAGTGAGGTAGGCCTTATCTAAGCTATTCGGAATGCTAGTGCGGAGGACATTTTCGTATGGTCTATCATATGTCGAAGGCTTTTCAAGTAATACGACATTAAACTGGAGCTTTGTACAGAAGGAGTCATCTATTGCACATCATCTTGCATAAGATAGATATTGTTGCACTTATCATGAAAGCGAGTCCAGCATAATTTCAAGTGTGTTCTTATATTTATTTGATGAGGGTCTTCGTTATTTCATATACCAAAACCAATCACAACGTACGAGTGCATGAGTCGATTCAAATGGCCTGAATTTTCATGATTAAGATGTCTTTAGTCCTGGTTACGGGGTGAGTGCTGTATAATTACCTGAACCTGCTTATAGACCGTTGAGCGAGAGCTTGTTTGATCACTATCCAGCCGTTTCGATCCACAAGAAACAAAACCCATAAGGTTAGTTTGGTCCATCTTCCTGGGTTTTGTAATGTCTACTTATACGGTTGAGCAGTTTGTACACTGATGTAAGTTCACGCTTAGCCTCTCGCTGAGTGAAATGGAGTAGGGAGCTTATCACTTCAAGAATCGTCTACGTCTAGTAGTATTGTATACAGTTTGTTTTGGGAGTCGTTCTACTTATGTAGATCAAATCTGAGCTCATGTGTGCGATAAACTTGTTTTCTCAGTGAAATATCTGTTAGAAACGTTGTTCTTGGCTTCTTTGCTCTTATTTTCTTGTATCTTCATGCACTTTCAGGAGTTTGGCTAACTTGGTTGATGGATGCTCACGGTGTTTCTATATACTTGCTTCATGGAAGATATGAAACCGTCCAATGCAGAAGGCTTTGAGTTTGGCATGTAATGTGCAGGACCTGAGTGTGCAGGTGACAGGAGGAGGATCATGGGAATTATATGGCATTCTAAATGTCACTGTATCAGTCTGCTTGTGAGGTTTTTGGTAAATGTCTTGGGTCGAAGAATCTAAGCATTAGGAGTCTTGTCCGCAGTCTTGTCCCGACTTTTTGCCAGTCATGCTTCCATTCCACCGCTTTCTTCGACTCTTGTTGCTCACTTTCGTTCTGCAAAGGCTCTTTCAGTGAGCAAATTGGTTTGCTGTGCATCAAGTGGATCTCATAGGAGGTCTGTTTGTTCCAGGTAAGCATCTTTTGTTAAGATAATTTCTCGAGGTGTCAGTACATCCGTCTCTTTCAAAGCCATGTTGGATGTGCAAAGCTACCATTTCCTTATCTAGTTGCTCTGTGGAATCCTCACGCTTTATCCACCTAAAAAGCGTTGGAGCTGTTACAGAGTAGTCTTTCCTGCTCAGATCCGCACATTGTGCTTGTTTGCTGAATTCTATATGTTATCAACTATGAAATTTCTTCCAAGCAATTTAAAGGATTGTATTTTGTGAAAATTCAGGTTCACAGCAGAGTAATAGCTTTACTTTCAATTCAAGCTGTACCTATTATTACCGTCATGTATTTTTTAATTGCCGAGTTAAACTGATAGTATTGAAAGAGTGTCGGGTGCAGTAGCCGTAAAGTTTACTAGAGGAGTGTTACGTTTTGGAATGCTTTATAATGGGGTCGAATGAGTCTGGATTTCAACTCCTTATAGCCAGCTTGGATTTCTTTATCTCGTCGCTCAAGATTTGTTTGTGGCAGCATATTAACGGGATCTTGAGCGTTTTCCTGTTATCAAGAAAATCGGTTGTCTTGTATTCGTAAATTTCCAGAATTTTTAGCCAGCCAAGATATATGTACTGCGAGTTCGTGCAACCGCTGCTTGCCTATCAAGTAAACAGATATTGATGTTATAAATGCTGGATGTACATAGATTCTTGTCAACAAAGTGGGCGTTTTCTGAAGTATTTTTGTGTTTCCCGTAGCCTAGATCCACATGAAAGGAGCTAAAGTAGTTGCCCCGTGGTTGATAATTGAATAAACAAAACACAGTATGTTATCTATATACGCATTTAGTTTCGAGTTCATCCCAGGTTATTCACTACTGCCCCATACAAGTCACAAGCTTTTATGTTATCTTGTTCAATTCATATACTTGTAAATTCAAAAGACTCGAAGTCAAGGTCAGTGAACCACTGGTGTGTTTCGAACTGCTCCTATTGCTATGCAAGGCTTGCCCTGAAGCTTTTCCAAATACTGCACTTCGTATATGTTCACTGACAGGATTCATTATGCCCAACACTGTCGATCAAGTGAGGCAATCCCCTGATAATACACATCTCAACTCGAGTCTGTCGAAGAGTTCCTAGATGCACCGCACGTGCATACAACTGTATTGTCATGATATTTTCACGCAAGGATTGAAGTGCGCGCTCCCACAGTTTGATATGTAATGTGTGCACGATTATTGAAGCTGTGAAGATATTTCGAATCTATGTAAGTTCATGTCGATTGAGATGTCCTAATGTTTATTGGTCAAGTTTTTCTCGGACAGCGGTGAGTTGCAATGTCAAAATATCGAGACTTCTTGTCAATATTTTAGCGTATAGGGCACTTGCAGACAGTTCATGTTCCTCCACGCTAGTTTGTGACCTACCACTAAGGAAAGCATAGTAAGAATGCCCATGATTGATTCCCAGCTCATACTGCCAGGAATTGCAACTGGAGGGCTTAGAGCTGACCATAATCTCGATCTCATTTCATTGCCTTTACTCCAATTTAGATTCTACCTTTGCATATTTCAAATGTTACACTGTAGAAAAATTCACGACAACTACATCAAATCATAAATCCCAACTTTTGTGTATTGTGAGATGCGTAGCTCCAATATCTTGAGTTGGCACTAAATCTAGTTTGTGCATGCTTTTGTGCACTTAGCAGACGTTAAATTACAAACTGCAATCAATTTGTAAATTAGGAGACTAAAAGTCATATCTGCCAAAGTCTGAAGCAATATGCTTCAGAACTGAAAATAGTAATTTAAGATCTGTTCTAAACATAAACGGGTAACGAACCTCTGGCAAAGACTTACTCGTGCAAGATAAACTGTGCTCTAAAACTCAATTGTACTGATGGTTTCTCGTAAAATTTTCTGATATCATTATTCGTGTTAGCTTTACTTCAGAAATTTTACATGTAGAAGAGTACTCAATCAGTACTAAATTTCACTAGTCAGTTCATGATCACATCAGTACCCTTCAGAGCTAAATCAAAAGTATACATCAAGCCACAGAAAGTACTATCAAACAAAAACTGCAATAAAGTATGAATTTAAGATATAAACCACTCACAACAATCACAACATATATATATATATATATATATATATATATATATATATAGCAATTACATATATATATAGCAATTAAACATGTCAACTTCCTGATTGAAAGACGCAAGGTTTTGAAAAATGTACCAGGTGTTAATCTCGAGTTATCTTAGTAAATTGCAAAATAGTATATTTACTTGATTTTATTTTTTTACTTGAACACCAACTATTGAAAATGCGTTTGAATGTTGTAATCCAGTCTCCAAATATTTCGATAAAACTTTCGGTATTTCATGAAATAATTTTTTATTTACAGTGATTGGCATATGTCATTAAGCAAAAAATCTACAATGATTATCAGAATTATAAAATTCATAAATTACGTTTATTTTAAAATATTGCTACAACACAAGAAAAACATAATTAAATTGCTGTAATTGATATGTTCATTTGTTCCTACATTATGCATGTGATAATTCTCAAGGATTCATTATTTATTTTGAAATACTTTTCTCACCAACTGCAACAAAGTTATAACTATGATATTCAAGGAAAATAAAGTTTGGTCTTTTTCACAAATCCATAATATATTGAGTCATAAAGTAATGATTTGTTCCAAATTTTTTTCTATAAGTAATTGATTTTTTCTTTGATATCAATAAATTCTAACATGATTTGTAAAAATATGGTCACCTTTTTTTTTAAGAAATGATTGTTTATATACAAAATCCTAATGATTTATGAAAATATCTAATTTAGCCTTATTATCATGACAGAAGTTATTAACTAAACCTGATACTAATAAAAGTAATTTCGAAAAATGAAAAAAGAAAAATAATATTTAAAAGTAACATCTAATGCAAAACTTTGAAAAATTATTCTTAATTATAAAAATTTAATTCAAGCATAAGAAATTTTATTTGATGTAAAAGTATTCATATATAAATGATTGATAGATTGAATATTTTTTATAGATATGTATAATTTCGTGAATGATATGTATTTGTAGAACTATCTATGATGTGATAATGAGATCAATAGATGTTCCATTGAATTTATTTTTTTGCACTTGAAAATAAAAAAATAAAAAAATAAGAATTTGAACATTTCTTTTTGAATTTTTAAACTTTTTTTATAAATTTTATTTATAATAAAGTATAATTATTCTAAATTCAATTTATTTATTTTTAATCTTAAAAACCTTCTTATCTTTAGGTTGCAAGAAACAAAAATTAAACACATTCATTAATATTTATTTTAGATGAATAAAAAAATAGAAAATTATGTCTTATTTTTACTGACTGTTAATATTCAATAAAAAAATATACTTAAATATTTAAATTTAAACTTCAAATGTAAACAAAATATTAGATACTTTTACTTGGAATGTAATGTTAGAAACTAAAATCATTTGAATTTCTTATAACATTTGAATAGAAGTGATAAACAAAAGAAATACTTGTATTCTAATTTCTTTTCAAAATATAAAACAATGAATTTAGTGTTATGTTTATTTGTGCTTGTTAACATCTTATTAAAATATAGATAAATTTCTATTTGTAAACATGAGAGATAAAAATTGTGTTAAAAAGTGATAAAGTAAAGAAAGAAAGTTTTGAAACATTGCAAGGAGTAATAAGCAATTCATTCACTATGAATGAAACAATCACAATTATTCAACAAACTTTAATTACTTATGAAATCACACAGGATGAACCATCAAAAAATGTTTCAGATTCAATCTATCCTACACAAACAAAGATGAAAAATCTATAATGTAGAGATTATTATAGAGACTAGCATCAAAATTTCTTTTCAACTAATCAATCTATAGAATTATTATCAAAGAGCTATGTAGATCACAAGATTGATTGAGAAAATACTTGGAAGCATGCCAACATACAAAGCTCTGCATTATTTAGTATAAAACAAATTGGAAAAATATAAAACTTAAAAGAATGTTGAACAAAAGATTTATTCAACCAAATGTTTCAACTCATGAAAATTCACTCTTATTTGTGAAGATAAAAGATGAAAATATGTAATTATGAGTTGATTATCGTGGTTGAATAATCACAATTATCAATTACATAATATGTATGGCTTATTTGATATGTTTCAAGTAAGAAAGTATTTCATAAAATTGGATCTAAGAAGCGATTACAATAGTATTTTAGTTTTAGATGAAAATATTCACAAGATTGTATTAGGTATGATATTTTTGAGTATCTAGTAATGTCTTTTGTTCTCATCAATGCAGATGCTACTTTGATAGATTGGTAAATAAAAGTTTTAATTACTTCTATAAAAAAATATTAATATTTTTCTAGATAATCATTTTGGTAAATCAAATTTTTTTTGAACTATCATGAATCTCATTTACAAGAAGTTTTTTAGGTTTTAAGAGAAAAATGTTTCAAAATGTGAATTTGGTTTGTAAAAAGTAGATTACGTGCGTTATAAAGTTACAATCAATAGATTAATTCAAATAATGAGTGAGAAGTAAAAAATAATTTAGAAATAAATATCATTTAAGGATCAAATTTAACTTACAAATTTTTTAGAATTTACAAGATTTATCATAAAGTTATAAATAATTTTGATTGTCTCTTTCAATTTTTGAAATCTATGGGAGACAAAGGCAAAAACTAGAGATGAAAAATAACTAAAGATTTAATTTTATTAAACTTTAAAAGATGTTTTGTTACACGTACTATAAGACTGGTCTTTGTATCTATGAAGTATTATTAAAAGTATCAAAGTAGTTGATCATGATTAGTTTAAGTATGACTAAGTCTAACTAGTTATGATTAAATCTAGCTACTTATAACTAAGTTTATCTAGTGATGACTAAGTGTGTCTATAATGTCTATACTTACAAAATAATAAGTGAAGTTCTGGAAAGTTTGAATGAACACAACTATTTTGTTTTTTTATAAAAATCTATATTCCAATGATGGAAAACTTTGACTACATAAGTGATTTGACTAAGTAACATGAACATCATTGGTTATACTAAGTGTAATGTTGACTTAATGACAAGTGGAGTTTTTAGAAGTTTGAAAGTCTCAAATGGTATGTCATCATCTCGATCTAGGGATTAGAAAACATCTAGAAGATTTAAATAATCAATTTGATGTTGCCACTTATTGAAAACTAGTCAAATTTACTATGGTTTTACTTGTAAAAGTAAATTAAATAAAAATCATCATTTTTTCCTATGATAACTTCTCAAGTAATATATATGGAGAGGTAGAAAAGAGACTTCAAGCAAGTATAAAGAGTTCA